TATTCATGGTTTTATGTATCAGTTAAAAATAAATTTTAGTTAAAAAAGGAAGAACAACAGATTTAAATCACATTGTGTAAGACCAACTAAGCAATTCTGATACTGTTCTTCAGGACTGTTCCTGGTTGGTCCTTCAGACTTCCTACATGCTGCTGGCTGGCAGTTGGCTATGTTTTCCATGGACATAGCTCTGTTCTTTGTGACCCTGTCCATGCTATGTTCCATTGCTCTCTTTATCCACATCCTCTGAAGCCAGAATCCCTTCTTTCCCTGGATGAGCTTAACTTGGTTCAGGTTAGGATAGACATGGTTTGTGCCTCCTTTTGAGCTGGGTAAGTACCTCACCCACTCACTCACTCACTCACACATTTACTCACTCATTCTTCATACTCGGATGCCTAGCTCTACCAGCCACAGTCATCATCTGCCCATTCCTGACTTCTCTTGCTCCACCTTCTGTCAGTTTCCTCTGGTGTAGGGAACTATTCTCTCTGAATCTGAAGTAAATGCTCTGTATACACGTTTCTTTCCTAGTGGCAAAAGCAGTCTGCTTTGTTGGACATGATATTCTGGGGCACACTCAAGATTCACACAGGGACTCATACTTTTCTTGGCTTGCTTGTTCTGCTGGCACTCTACTACTGGAGCATGACTCTAGCACTGCTTTTTTGCTGACGGAATGAGGAAAGTTAGGGAAAAGGGCATTATGGATCAAGCCAAAGCTCAACCTTGGAGCTGGGGATTAGGTTTAAGTCTAGCTTCATTCATAGCAGATGGACTGAGGATAAGGGAAGGGTGGTTCTCAGGGCAAACTCGGGGCATGATACCTGAAACAAGGAGATGTGTCAGCCTTTTGCTGCCAGGGCTTCTGGTTTTAACCCTTACTTAGTCTTTCTTTTCCATAAACTATTGGACTTTAAACTTTATGTGGAACAAGTCCCTAGCTTGAAGTTAGGGAAAGACTTGTTCTCACAGCTATCCTGGTGCCTAACCAGGTGATGAGAGCTGTTTACCCAGCTTCAGAGGCCTAGATGTGAGACAGGCCATCCTTTGAATTGCAGATGCCTAGCTCAGTAGGTAGAGCAAGGAAAGGTCTCTGCTTTAGAGGGTATGTAGGTATTATGTTAATTAGCTGCAGGGAAGCTGCTCCTTGTGCTTTTGTTTACATTTGGGCTTTGTCTCCACCCAAGCATGTAGTTTTTGCCTTTAAAAGCTTGGTGCAAACTCTGTGTGGGGCTGCTGGTCTTTGAGACAATAGTCTGTCACGCACACACCAGCTTTCTAGTAAAGATCCCCAACTCGGCCTCTCCAAAGGTGGCTTCTCTGTTTTCCCACGACTGGATTTATAGCTGAGATACCTTACAACAAGCTTTGTGGTGTTAGGGGATGATATGGTCAACTGAAGCAATTACCAGGCTGTCTGCAGCTGTGGGTCTACTTGGATTTCCAAGAGCATAATCCTGGGACCATCCGTAGGGGCAGGAAAAACAAATGTGTGAGTGATCTCAGTTGTGGTTCTGGTACTATGCGCAAAATAGCAGTATCCTGGGAATTGCTGCAAATGGTGTTCTTGTAGGAAATAGGTGGGAGGGGGGAGTAAAATTAGGGGAAGAGAGAAAGTGGGGGTTATCATAGTGTAGGAGACTATGTCCTTCTTCTGTCCAGACACTTTCCTTCTGCTGAGCAAGGGATCCCCAAGTTCTGCTTTGGAGGTCATCTTAGTGTCTCAAGCCCTAGAGAAAATAGCTTCTTAGGGGACCCAGCCCAATCCTTTCTTTGTGGGGAAATGGAAACCAAGACTAGCCCTTCCTTCTTACTGGCATCTGTGGGGAGAAGTCTCCAGCAGCTCCCAACCAACATGGAGAAAGAGGGGCTTAGTAGAAACTCTTGGGGTTTCAGGCAAGGCTAGTTACTGGCTCAGAAATAAGGTGTCTTTCCTCCTTCTCAGACCAGCTATCAACAGACAGGAAGTAAAAAATAAAAGGCCAACAGATTGAGGCTCTATACTCTACATGCCATCCTCCTACCTGCACAGCTCAATACACATGTGCATGCACATAGCAGCAGGATCTGGTGAGACAGCTACACCTTTCTCACACCATAGATCAGGTTCAGCAGTCCATTGTCATCTGAGCTGACAGCGCAGCTGCTATAACATACATTTGTCTTACCACACTGAGGTCCTGGCTTCTTTCAGTGTGGCTTCTCCATCAGTAGTCTCTAGTCTTTTTAGTCAGTTCCCAAGGGCTATTGAAGGCTAATCTCAAGATTTGTGAAAAAGACACTGAACTGAGATGTAAGAATTGAGGATGAAGAAAACTCACACCTACCCACACAATGAGGATGAAGCAACCATTTGCAAGCTTCTAAGAGAGACCCTATTAGTGTAACTATACTTTTATGACCTGGAGAAAATTTGAACCATGTCATGTAGACTGTAAAAATATGAAGTAATGGGGGAAAGTGGGAGCCAAGAGATAAGAACCTGCCAGCCTTTCCAGAACTGATTTTGGGAGGGGAGCCTTGGCCAGCTAGTGGGATACTGTTCCGCTGTTTATTCCCTTAGTGGGGATGGACTTGCACCGCTCCACAGCACCATCCACTGGGATTCCTCGCTTCTCATTCTCCTAATTTTAGGCCTACCAAGCGGCAGGAACCCCTGAAGCAGTATTTATTTATCCTGAGAGTAAGCTATAGATCTCATTGAAAATAAATGCATTGGGACCAGTCTTAGCTACCAGTTATTATTTTCATATCCCAGAGTCATAGATCCAATCTTTTAGAGCTGAGATCTTAGATCAAAGTGGCCCCTGCTTATATTTTCTGACAATACTTCTGAAATCAAATGTACTTCCTGACATCAGTTGGGCATCCAGCAATTCCACTGACCTCAGACACTGACTCCTTGAGTTATAACAGTTCCCAACTCTTAAGGGGTCTGTGTTATAAGGCTGCTTCTACTTCAGAAGCTGTGACAAGAAGAATTGCCAGGAACCCACACTTCTTTTTTTTTTTTTTGTCGGTCGTGGGGCTTGAACTCTGGGCCTGGGCGCTGTCCCTCAGCTCTTCAGCTCAAGGCGAGCGCTCTACCATTTGAGCTACAGCGCCACTTCCGGTTTTCTGGTGGTTTATTGGAGATAGGAGTCTCACGGTCTCTCCTGCCTGAGCTGGCTTTGAACCGCGATCCTCAGATCTTAGCCTCCTGAGTAGCTAGGATTACAGGCGTGAGCCACCAGCGCCGGGCTTGGAACCCACACTTCTTGCCTGGCTGACAACAAAGCTGGAGGATCCCATGATGCCACTTCCCTTTTTTGTTGTTTTTGGTCATGGGGCTTGAATTCTGGGCCTGAGCACTGTCCTTCAGCTCTTCAGCTCAAGGTGAGCGCTAGATCACTTGAACCACAGAGCTACTTCCGGTTAATTGGAGATAAGAGTCTCGTGGCCTTTTCTGCCCGGGTTGGCTTTGAACTGTGATCCTCAGACCTCAGCCTCCTGAGTAGCTAGGATTGCAGGCATGAACCGCTGGTGCCCGGCTGCCACTTCACTTTTGATGATTCACTAGAACAACTCACAAAATTCAGGAAAACACTAGACTGATGTTAGAGTTTATTCTAAAGAATACTATCAACAAGAAGGATACAGGACAAAGTCCAGATGGGTTCTGAGCACAAGAGCCTGTCTTTGTGGAATTAGAGTGAGGCCCCTCCCTGTACACATATGTATTCACCATCCTGGAGCTCTGCAGGTCTACTTGTTTCCGATAGCTCTGGCTCTCCATCCACCCCCCCCCCCCCCCCCCCCACTGTTTAAACTCAGGGCCTCATTCTTGCTAGATAGGCACTCTACCACTTAAGTCATACCTCCAGTCCTTTTTAGCTTTAGTTGTTTTTCAGGTAAGGGCTTGTAATTTTGCCTGTGGTCCAGCTTCAGACCTTGATCCCCATATCTCTGCTTCCTGAGCAGGTAGGACTCCAGTCCTGTACCACCATGCCTGGCCTTTCATTGTTTAAGTTTTTTGTTTGTTTGTTTTTGGGTCCGGTCTCGTGGGGACTGAACTCTGGGCCTGGGCACTGTCCCTCAGCTCTTCAGCTCAAAGCTAGTGCTCTACCACTTGAGCAACAGTGCCACTTCCGGCTTTTTTCTTTTTGCTTATGTGGTGCTGAGGAATCGAACCCAGGTCCTCATGCATGCAAGGCAAGCGCTCTACCACTGAGCCACCTTCCCAGTCCCTGTTTAAGTTTTTATAAATCCATTTCCTCTCCTCTCCTTCCCCAAACATCTGAGAATAGGGAGTGAGGGTGGGTAGCTGTAAGTTCCATTGCCCAAAACACTTTGGACTTTCTGGGACTAGCTGCCATCCTACCTAAGCTGTCTAGGGCACCTGAGCCACTTCATTAACATAAATTCAGATGTAGCCCAAAGGGGACTGTTACGAACACCAAAAGACACTCCTGTCATTTAGGAAATAGGGTTGGTAGAGCTCTAGGCCAGGATGCAGGACAAAGACAAACACATTTTAAAGCTACCTGAGGTCCTTTCCTGTAAATGAGTTCTGAGATTCTCAATGAGCAGAGTCACCTACTCATCTTGCTTCCAGCTAGACCCTCCTCTGCACACTGACTAGTTAACCTGTTAGCCTTTTAGTTTGGAGGAACTGGGACTAAGAGTAAGGGTCTAATGCAGTCACAGAATATTTTTTCTATAAAACTGAGTGATGTCCCTTCCCAAGTTGACCCCCAGAGATCAAGTAAGTTTGTGACTTGGAAGCAGAGGCTTGTGTGTGGGACTTTGAGGAGGTGCTATTGGGAAGAGGAAGAGACTAGGGCCCTGGGCTGACAGCCAGCCTCCTAGGATCCTGAGGGTAAGGGTTGCACTGGTTTGGATTTCTGCAGAGTCAATAGAGGGGGAGGCACAACTGTGAAGTGGTCATGACCTCATCAGGAGCTTATAAATCCTGCATGCAGGACAGTCTTTTTGCAGGCCCGTGACTGATGGAAGCTTTGCAAGATGAAGGACTTAGAGATGAATGGTGAAACAGCCCATTTCTGCACAGACAACCAATGTGTTTCCTTGCATCCTCGAGGTGAGAAAACACAGGGCCTTCCTTGCCTGTCTCTCTGCCCAGTACCCCTCCTTGGCAGTCCTTGGACTGCACAGTAAACAGAATGTGAGTCAGGCAAAGGACTAGAGCTCTGGGCAGGCCCAGTGTCTGCATAAAATCTTCCTAGACTCCTTTTTCTGGGCATAGTAAGTAATCTGGCAGGAGAAAGAACTTTGAATTTAGATAGATCTGGGTTTGAACTCCAGCTCTGTATACCAGCTGAGCCCATGGAGGCTCTGGAGCATCCTCTCTTGCTAATAAATCTCAAGAAGGTTCAGGAATGGCTTTTTTCAGAACATTAATGGTTGCAGGGCCCAAAGTGAAGGCTTCGGGACTGTCACTGTATGGGGATCAGCACTTAGCCCCCAAGAGGGTGACTCTTACCTTAGCTAGAGTCCATGAGCAGGATTGGCTCTGAGCCCTAGGTCTGGGCTCCTGTTTGGTATCTTTGTCTTGTCTCCTTCTTCTACCCTCCCTCCCTCAACTCTCTTTCCTTCCTTCTCTTCTTTTATTCAAACCACATTTCTGTGGATTTCTACAACCAGGTTTTGTTCTCCGAGTACCCCCACTGCCTTCTTGAGACTTTGAGTCTTGGGGTCTTGGCAGTGTTCTTGACCTTTGGGCTGCTACTGTGACTCACAGTTGGCTTTTGTGAACACCAAAGAGTGCTTTCACCTTGCTGCCATCTGGATGAGAAGTGTGGCAGGTGTCCTTGTCCCCACTGGACAGACCAGGAGCCTGGGTCAGACAGGCCAACTATCCCAGTCCTTCTCTCATCTTGGACTCTGGCTTCTACTCTACAGGACTGAACTCCACATCAGCGGCATTGATAGCCCCCAGGATGTCAAGAATTGTTCAGATTGCCTTGGTGTGCATGGCTGGGATTGTGATCTCCTGTTTGGTGGCTCTCTTTGTAGTGGGTGAGTTATCAAGTGTCCAGAACTTTACTGATTCTCTCTCCTTATTCCTGTACAAAGGCCCAAAGAGTACCAGATGCACATTCTCTGACTCCTGCTGTTCCCCAAAGGGTCATTCCAAGGCTGCTTCGTTGGCCCTGGGAGCAGAGAGAGGCCACTGTGCAAGGGAAGCCTCCCAATAATTGAGGCTTGTGAAGGAAACTCCATCTTCCTCTTTCTAATACCCTAGCTGGTATAGGGCATCCTGTTTTCCCAGATCAGGGCTGAGGATAGCAGTAACCCAGGAATGGGGTATTTCAGCTCTGCAGCCACAAAACCCTGAACTGAAGAGTGATCTTGTCTCCAAAGAGCTTCAAGCTCTTTGTTTCTGGAAGACAACAAAATTGGACAGTTACCTGTGGAACCCAAAGGTGAGCAGCCAAGAGGGGCTGGGGGCTGGGAGGGACCTGGGGCATTGAGGAGTATAAATTCTGGGACTAGCTTCTCTTTCAATACCCCCAGATCTTTGAATGGGTTCCATTCTCCTCATTAAAAAAGCAGTCTTTTTTAGAACAAAAATGAAAATAGGCTGGGTACCAGTGACTGATGCCCGTAATCCTAGCTATTCAAGAGGTTGAAATCTGAGGATTGAGGTTTGAAGCCAGCCTGGACAGGAAAGTCTGTGAGACCCTTATCTTCAATTAACTACCAAAAAACTGTAAGTGACATTGTAGCTCAAAGTGGTAGAATGCTAACCTTGAGCAAAAAAGCTCAGGGACAGTGCCCAGGCCCTGAGTTCAAGCCTCATGACTGACAAAAAAAAAGAAAAGAAAAAGAAAAATAGCTTTAAAAATATAATAGATACACTGTATATATGTATGTATGTATACATATATAATCTATAACTCCCATCTTTAAAGCATATGGTCTGATGAATTTTGATGTGTGCATGTGCTCATGAAACCATCAACCATGTGAAGGTAAGGGACAGAGTCATAGTTCTCTGCCAGAGTTTACTTGTGGCCCTTGTGGTTCCTTGTGGTTCCTCCCTCTCCCACACCTTTCAATCCTAGGTCACCACTCACTTCTATGTAATAACTAAAGTAAAATTTGCCTTTCCTAACACTTCATATAAAAGGGACCATATATATTCACTCCTCTAAAATCCTTTACCAGTCATGTGGTTTGCACACATTTTCTCTGTTTGTGACTTCATTTCTCAGTCTCTTCCAAGGTTTTAATTTTGATAAAATTAAAAGTATTGAGGATTGAGCCCAGGGCCTTGTCCATACATGTGCTCTCCCACTGAGCTATACACCCTTAGCCCCTTCTTTTCTTTTCTTTTTTTTTTCTGGAATGGATCATGCTTTTGGTCTTGTATGTGAGAAAACGTTGCTCAAGTCAAAGTCTCAAAGATGTTCCTTTTTTGCTTTCTTTCGTAGTTTTTTGAGTTCACATTTAGAAATTTTTGTATAGAGGGATGGATAAATGGTTTTGTTTTTCTTTTGCATGCAGACATCCTAGTATTTTGGCAGTGTTTTTTGAAAAGATGATCTTTTCTCCATGAATTGCCCTTGTCCATATTTGTATGGCTGCACCTCTGGATTCTCCATCTGATTGCACTCATCTGTTTGTATTCATCCATCTTGTAAGGTAGAATCTTTGAGCCTTCCACACTTTCAAAGGCCACCTGAACTTGCAAACCTGGATGGAATGTGTAGAACAGCACATGAGTACTCTAGAAGGGTCTTTGCCTACTTGGGTTCTTCCCTCTCTTTCTTCAGTAAGGTGACCATGAACGTCTAAGATTGGATCTTAGTTTGTGAGGGGAGCCAAAGATACCAGCAATACCAGAGTGGGTGGTGGTGGTAAGGACCCTGAACTCTTCTGTAGGAGTCTTTTCTCCATGTAACATTGGAGCACTGGCCCTTTAAAAGGCCATTTCAGCAGAGGTCGAGTGTCACTTGTATGGCATGTCTCCTTCCTGGACTTTTGGATTAAACACCATACTTTCTTCTAGGAAAATGCTTTTTTCTGCCTCCCTCCATTCCTCACATGGGATTTGTGAGGACAAAATTTATGTTTGTGGTCTACACACTTCTAGGAAGTAATGTATACCAGTTTTAAAACATTATTGAACTTACTCTGGGCTTTATTCATATCTATTTCCTCATAATAACCCATCCATAGCAAAATCTCAGTAGAATTAAACTTTAAGATCTTACAATATAACTAGTTACTTTTAAGTAACTAGTTATATGAGCCTGTGGCTCATGCCTGTGATCCTAGCTACTCAGAAGGCCGAGATCTGAGGATCGTGGTTCAAAGCCAGCCTGGGCAGGAAAGGCCATGAGATCTTATCTCCAATAAACCACTGGAAGTGGCACTGTGACTTATGTGGTAGAGTGCTTGCCTTGAGCTGAAGAGCTGAGGGACAGCACCCAGGCTCAGAGTTCAAGCCCATGACCGACAAAAAAAAAAAAAAAAAAAAAAAAAGCCAGATTTATCACATGATTCTCATAGGCTAGTTTAAAGTAATCCTTTCCAACCCTTCATTCATCTGTGGCAGCTAGTAAGTCTTCATTTACTTTGGTTTTTGGTTTACATTCTCATGTGGACCCAGGGTCTGGGTGAATGCAATGACCACCCATCCAGCTGACTAAACCCTCAGGGCTGTACCATACATGTTTCTCTGGGAATCTGGAAGAACATGCTGATTACAATCTCACATAGTGAGTGTCTTTGGCTGCCTTGTCTGTTTCTTTCCCCCCAGATCACCATTCCATTGACAGGGTGGCAGAGGTGGAAACTGCTATCCAGATATTCAAAGACCACATGGTAAATTCCAGTTCCTGGCACATGGAGATCCAGATGTTGAAGTGCAGAGTGGAGAATGCCAGTGCTCAAATCCAAGTCCTGGAGGGTCATCTGGGAAATGCCTCTGCTGCCGTCCCGATGTCAAAAGGTGCTCTGAAGGATGCCAGTGTCTGGAGTTTTCAGACACAGGTGCTAAGACGTTCCTTGGAGGAGACGGGTGGGGAGATCCAGAGGCTGAAAGGAGATCTGGAAAAGGCAAATTTTTCAACTTCCCAGATGCAGAATTTCTTAAAAAACAGCTCAGAGAACACCAGCACTGTGCTCCAGGTGTTAAGCAGAGACTTGAAGAGTGCCAATGCTGAGATTCACACATTGAAGGCAGGATTGGAAATGGCAAATGACCAGGCCCAGTGGGCAAATAGTAGTTTAGAAACTGCAAATGCTGAAATCCATGCTTTGAAAGGTCATCTAGATAGTATCAATGAATTAAGGACCCAGGACCAGGTTATAAGAAGTAGTTTGGAAGAAGCTCAGACTGAGATTCAGAGCTTAAAGGGAAGTCTGCAAAAAGCAAATGCTCTAAACAACCAGACCCAGACCCTTCTTCAAGTCAGGTTAGACAGCACCAGAGCTGAGACCCAGGCACTGAAAGGTCGTTTAGAAAAGATTGGTCCTGAAATGAACTTGTTAAAAACAGAATTGGCAACTGTTACTGCCCAGATGCAAGTAGCTAACAGCCGCCTGGAGAAGGCAGATGCTCAGGTTCAAGGTATAAAAGCAAAGCTAGAAAACACCAATACCTTAAACTCCCGGATTCAGGTACTAAATAGTGAGCTGAGAAATGCCAACAGAGAGATACAGACCATACAAACAAGAAAAGAGGATGTTGAAGCCTTAAATTCCCAGGCCCAGATGTTAGAGAGAAATCTACAGAATACCAATGCTGATATGCAGAGGTTAAAGGAGGATTTGAAGAATATCCAGGCTCTCATTACCAAGATCCAGGAGGAACAGAGTCACCCGGGAAACCTCCCTGTGACTGATGCTCTGCAGGAGCAGCTGAGGAAGCAAAGTAAGTGACAGGGAGGAGTTCTGAGGGGAGGGGTCCTGAGGGAAGAGACTAGCGTCTTTTGTCCCTTCAGCCCTTTTGTTTAACATGTTTGTCTCTGGGGAGGAAATAGGTGCTTGAGATGAGACCAAACCCAATGAAATAGGCAGTGGTGATAACACAGGAGCATTATACTTTCTCCAGAGGTGCTTATGATCTGGCCAGTGACAAAAGAGGTGGAAAACCAACTGCATATGACAGGAATTTGAAATAAGGATGTATGGGCTAGGTACTGATACCCTGCCTTTAGAAATGTTGAACATGTAGCTGGGGGCTGGAGGTTAATGACTCTTAATACTAGCTACTTGAGAGGCTGAGATCTAGAGGAGTAAGGTTTGAAGCCAACGTAGGTAGGAGAATCCAGGAAACTGCATCTCCAATTAATGTACAAAAAGCTGGTTTAGAGACATAACTAAACTGGTAGTGTGCCTATCAGGTAAGCAAGCCAAGGAAGAGCTCAAGGCACTGAATTCAAGCCACAGTACTGGACATAAAAAGGAAGAAAGAATGGTGAATAAACTACTTACTAACTCTGAGCCTTGCTTTTCTCATCTTAAAAGTGGAGACAATAATATTTGTTCCACAGTGAAGATCAAATGAGGTGACATGTAAAGCATTTTAGGCTGGGCACCAGTTGCTCACGCCTATAATCCTACTACTTAGGAGGCTGAGATCTGAGGATCAGGGTTTAAAACTAGCCCGGGCAGGAAAGCCCATGAGATTCTTCTTATCTTGAAATAGCTACCAAAAATGCCAGAAGTGGAGCTGTGGCTCCAGTGATAGAGCACCAGCCTTGAGCACAAAACCTCAGGGACAGTGCCTGAGTTCAAACCCCAGGACTCCCTCTCCCCCACAATCTTTAAGTAATTGTACAAAAGAGTTGCCATTTAACAAAGCAGTTTATGAATACAATGCATCTTGACCAATGTCACCCCTTTCAACATTTTTGGTTTTTTTTGTTGTTGTTTTGTTTTCCGGTCATGGGGCCTGAACTCTGGGCCTGGGCACTGTCCCTCAGATCTTCAGCTCAAGGTGAGCCGCTCTACCACTTGAGCTACAGCGCCACTTCCAGCTTTTTCTGTGTATGTGGTGCTGAGCAATCAAACTCAGGGCCTCATGCATGCAAGGCAAGCACTCTACCACTGAGCCACCTTCCTAGCCCTCAACATTCTTTTTTTTTTTTTAAATGTGGGTTGTTTTATTTTATTTTATTTATTTTATTTTTTGGTCATGGGGCTTAATCTCAGGGCCTGGACGCTGTCCCTCAGCTCTTCAGCTCAAGGTAAGTGCTCTACCACTTGAGCCACAGCGTCACTTCTGGCTTTTTCTGCTTATGTGGTGCTGAGGAATCGAACCCAGGGCCCCATGCATGCAAGGCAAGTGCTCTACCACTGAGCCACCTTCCCAGCCCGCCCTCAACATTCTTATACATCTCTCCCAAACCATCCCTTTCATCACTTTTATTTTTCTTTCTTTTTGCTAGTCTTAGGGCTTGAACTCTGGAAACTGTCCCTAGGAACCTTTTGCTCAAGACTAGCACCACTTGAGCCACAGTACCACTTTCATTTTTTCCCTGTGATTAATTGGAAATAATGTCATGGACTTTCCTGCCCAGGCTGGCTTCAAACCACAATCCTCAGATCTCAGCCTTTTGAGTAGCTGGAATTACAGGCAAGAGCCACCAGTGTCTAGCCTATTTGTGAGATTCTTATCTCCAATTAACTAGCAAAAAGCCAGAAATGGAGACATGGCTCAAGTGGTAAAGTACTAGCCTTGAATAAAAACATAGAAAAAACGAGTGATAGCATGAGACTCTGAGTTCATGCCCCAATACTGGAACATAATAAAAGAACTTTAATAAAGTGCTTTGTGTTTATGCACTCATTGCCATTTTATTGAGGCCCTATCAAGTTCCAGGGGAAGAAAAATGAATATGATGTGTCCTGTAGTTTTGCCAAGCTTTCGGCAGACTTGTATAGAAGACAGGTGTAAGAGGTAAGGAGTAAGAAGCTGGTACTGGGAACCAGGGTGAAGGAGGGGCAAAAACAAAGAAGAAATATGAAGGAAGTGTGTGTGTGTGTGTGTGTGTGTGTGTGTGTGTGTGTGTGTGTGTGTGTAAGAGAGACATCTTTCATGAGAAAACATCAGATGGTACTTTATTGAGTTGATGGCTTTTGAATGGAGTCTTGAAGGATTAGTAGTTATTTGCCAGATAACAGGGTAAGAGAATGGTAAGTTCAGAAGTATGGAGACATGAAAGCCTGGTGAAGGAAGGCAACTTCATAAGGTAAAGACTAAAAGCATAGAAGACAGGGGCTCCAGCAGTGGTGGTCTCAGTTTGAATGAAATCATAGCATGAAATTCATATTACACTGTAAGCCAGTCGAATTACAGACACACTTTTAAGAAAAGCAAAATTTACTGTGTCAATACACTCTGATACTTTACAATCTGAATCTATTCCTTTTTTGAGTTTTTGGTCAGTAGTGGGACTTGAACTCAGGGCTTCATGCATTGCTTACTTTTTTCATTTAAGGATGGCCACACCTCCTTAATTAGAGGTAGTTGTTACCTGGACATTTCTGCCCAGGCTGGCTTTTACTGTGATCCTTAGGTCTCAGCCCCCTGAGTATCAGCTAGAATTATAGGTGAGAGCCACTACAATCTAATATGTATGCTTTTCACAATTTACAAATGGGCTGGAGAGTACAGTTTGAATAACACTGAGCTAGGGAGGCAAGTGGGAGACACAGGGTGGATGGGGAAGGGCCTGGGACTTGAGTTTTCCCTCCAGGAACTTCAAAGAGGAGGCTCCGTAGGCTGTGTCCAGACTGAGGTTGGAAATAGAAGAGGAATGGGAATGGGGTGATTTCACCTGCTGAGTTTGGGATGTTGGGGGGGCGGTGGTTATGGCTCTCATTTACAGGTTGTCTAGAGAAGGAGAGAGGCCTGGTTTCAGGCATGGATCTGGAGACATGGGATATTATTGGTTCTGGTTTCTACAGTGGGATGTGGCTACATGAGACAGCATGGAGAAGACCAGGGGGCACACAGAAAGCCAGTCTTCAGCTGGCAAGATGGGAAATCGGTGTTTTGAATATGTGATGGCTATGATATGAGCAGCTGAAATGGATGGAGATGCAATCAGAAAAGATGGAAGGCTGGAAGGAGGCTGTAAAGAAAGAAAAAGTCAAGAAAGAGTCAAGGATGGAGAGGACATTGTGGCTCCAGCACAGCCAGAAAGCAGGCATCTGAAAAAGAGTGTTGACTGGTGGCACAGCTCAGTCTCCCAGGAGGGACCTCCACACTTGGATACCGAAAGCTGCTTGCAGGATTGTGTAGTGAGATAAGGCTATAGCCTTCTGGCCTTGCACTGGAGCACTGTTTTCAGGAATGGCCTGGGCTCCTGAACCTAAGTGGCTAGCTCTGGGACAGAAAGGTCAGCATTGGGTCACCCACTATCTGTTTCTGATTCTCTCTCTCCACAATCTTTGCTCCAGATCAACTTCTCCAGTTGGCCTTGGAAGGCTGGAAGGCCCACAAGGGAAACTTGTATTATTTTTCTCAAGTGAAGAAGTCTTGGCACGAGGCTGAGAAGTTCTGTGTGTCCCAGGGAGCTCACTTGGCATCAGTGACCTCTCAGGAGGAGCAGGTGCGGGATGTGGGTGAGGGCGGCATCGGCTGGGGATGTTGGTCTGTGACCAGAGATCTGGGTGCTTTGGTTTTTAATCCTTTCAGTGGTGTGGCTGTGGAGACCTTCAACTCTCCAAGTCAGGTGGGATTTTTTAAATGAATATTTATTTATGGCTATTGTAGAGTTGATATACAGAGGGTTATAGTTACATGAGTCAGGTAATGAGTAATGAGTACAATTCTTTTTGAACCATGTCTGCCCTTCCATTGCTCTCTCCCAGTTCTTTCCCCACCCACAAGATATCCAGTTCATTTTCCATATAATACTGTTGTATTTGTTCACCCTTGTTCCATCTTTTATGTGCCCTCCCTGATCCTCCCAAACACAAACTAGCAAACAAGATAAAAGGAAAAGAGAACAAAAACAGCAACAGTGGAGACTAAAAAATGTCTCCTGTTTCCTTTTCTTAGGCTCCATTTCATAGAATATTATTTTATATGATTATCTTTACATAGCGATTGAGCCTTTGTCCACCATTCCTATGCATATCTGACTTTGGCTTCAGTATGTGAACGACTAGACTACTATATAATTAATCATATCCCAATGTGTGTGCATACATGTATACGTAATATTTATTGAGCTCCAAGGAGCACTTTGTACTGGAGGAGGAAGCTTGAACAGTACCTTGCACATACTCAATGATGAAAGAAGATGTCCAGGGTTCAGCAGAGGTGAGCGGGAAAGAAGGGAGGGCAGAGAGAGGTGGTACCAAGTGACTGCTCTCAATTGTTGGGAAGATGTGTCCTTTTTATGCCATGGAGTTCCTGATAAGCTTCCTTTCTGGCCTTTAGTACAGATGTAAGTGTCAGTTAACCCAATGGCTATGAGGGGCTCCTGAGCACGAGATCTGAGCCTTCTAGAGAGCTGATGCACTACTCCATATTTGAGGACCACAATAAGCAATATTCCAGGAAGACCATCTATTTATCTGATAAAGGTTAAGGATCTTTACCAGAACCTGCCAGGTTATTAACAAGGGCTGCAATAGCTTTGGTTCAATTAACTTATAGAATGATCCACTCCTTGAAGTTAATCAGGCTATTGTTATAGGATCAGTGAAGGTTAAATTGTTTGTAAAACATTTCTTCCCTCCTCGTATTTTTTCTTTTTGGTTGTACTGAATCCAGAACTGCATGAATGCTAGACAAGTACCACGAGCCATACTCTCAACTCCCAAATTCATCTTTGTCCAAGTAAAGCTATACCCCTCATCAAGAACAGGAGCTTTTTATGGCTAATCAGTACGAGAGAAGCTGGGCTTCTCATGGGCAGGGTGTGGCTGTTGGCCTATGCCTCAACAAAACATAGAAAGCAAAGACAGTGGCCTAGTTCCTGCAGAGAAGCAGGCTTCATGTCCCAGTACTAGCGAAAAGACAGCCTCGAGAACCAGCTACTGGCACACATGAACAGTCCTACCTCTTTTCCATAGGACTTCATGGTATATTTCACAAGTTCTGCACACCACTGGATCGGCCTCACTGACAAGGACACCGAGGGCTCCTGGTACTGGGTGGATGGGACACCATTCAACAGCACAGAAAGCAGGGAGTGAGTCAAGTTGCTATATTATTTTGGCAGGCCTGGCTAGAGACTCATGTATCCTTGTCTTGTGTGTATTAGTGTTGCATGTGGTATATGTGGTGTATGATATGGGGTGGCATATGGTGTGGGATGTGTATGTAGTATATGAGTTGGTATATGATTTATATGTGATGCATATATGGTATTTGTGGTGTATGCTGTGTGATGTATAGGATGCATGATACATGTATAAGGTGTGGTGTGTGGGGTGCATGATGCATGAGTGATGGGTATGTAGTCTGGATATATGATGTATAATGTACATGTGGTGTGTGTTGGGTATGACGTGCATGTGGTGGATGGTGTATATGATGTGTATATGATCATGTATATGATGTGTGATGTGTATGTGGTATGTGTGGTACATTATGCATATGTGGTGTAAACCATGTGTGGTGAGGCATGATTTCTCCCAGAGAGCCTTGGGGAAAGGATAGGTCCTATAGCTGATAGTCTGTGGGTGGGTCTTTTTGCTTTTTGTTTTGTTGCATTTTTGGTTTTTGTTCTTTGTTCTTTTGTTGTTGTTGTTGTTTTTGAGACAAGGTCTCACTATGTAGTCCAGGCTGGCTTTGATCTGGCTATGTCACCCAGGCTAGTCTTAAACTTGTGATCTTTCTGCTTGAGGCTCCCCTATGGTAGGCCTGTATGTGTGTGCTGCAATACCCAGCTACCTTTTTAAAAATTTTTTAAATCTTTGCTTTCTACCCTATGCTCTACTTTATCTGATGCCAAGGGCCTCTACTCTCACTGGATAGCCTCTTAGTTCGAATTCTGGGGTGGGCTTGCAGCATCATAGGTTCGTTTCTGGCCCAGATCTTCAATAACTAAGGGCAGCCTTAGTGAGCCTCAGTGAGCCATCTTCAGAGTTCTGTTGGCCCTCACCTTGCTCCCATCTTGGGACATGAGGGATGAGGGATCTACATCAGTATTGTGTCAGCTCCTTCTGCCAGTGCAAAGGAAAGGACACTTGCTCTGTCTAACAAAATAAAGCTGTGTTGTTTCCAGGTTTTGGGAAACAAATCAGCCAGACAACTGGCTACACAAGAACGGGGAGAGGGAAGACTGCGTGCAAATTCAGAAGAAATGGAATGACATATACTGCAGCGCCTCCTATCCCTGGGTCTGCAAGAAGCCCAGGGACTTCGTTGTGGCTTGAGGCTGCCCAGAACTGAGGGGTCACTCCTGCCTGCAATGTTGGACTCCGCTCCACTCCACTTCTAAAGGCCTTTGCGCCCAACCTGTTCTCTAGGGCTTGTCATTGGCCTTTTGTTATTTCTTGCCTTGTCTTTTTATTGAACAATTTTGAACATGTTTGTGCTACGTAACCCCGTGGGATCAATGACTCTTCAGAGCAGAACCCTTGCCTTGCCTCAGCTGCCAGGCCTGGGAGATTGTAGGTCCTCCATAAAGTCTCATTGAATGAACAAGGTGTTGTGCTTGCTTGTCTCTTGTGACAGTTATCACATGTTTCTCTCTAAACGGTTCTTTCCTTGACTGTCCCTTCTGTCTCCAAACAATCACATCTTTCTTTAAGAGCTTTACAGCTAGTAATTTTTACCTACTTTGTGGAAAACAGCAGAGATTTACGAAAGACTCCAGGGACTTCACAAGGAATATAAAGACCCAGGAAGTTCCTGCCATCCTGTTTGTTCTCTGGATTTCCTTGGAGTCCAGATGGGCCCAGGGCTGGATTTCCAGCCTTTAAACTACTCTGAAGACATTTCTTTTTCCATCCTGTGAGCTGGTTTCATTTCATGTTTAAACTTTAGAGCTGTGTCTCTGGATCCAGCCTCTTCTAGGGGCCTCCATTCACCCTTCAAGGAATTTAGCTTTCTGTCAACTCAGCTTAGAAGGAGAATGTCTCTGTTGGGCCTGTGGATCTTCCTCCTGTGGGACAGGAGCAGACAAATATAAAGGGGCCCTTCCTGCAAACACCCCAGGGTCAGTCTTCATGTCCTGCTGTCCACTCTCAGTTTCCTAAAGACACAGGCAGAGGAATTAACTTCTTCACAGACTGACTGGAGCTGTCTGGGGAGCCAGAAGTCCTCAGTTGACTTGGGGAAGTGGCCAGCTTGCCACTCTGGATTAGACAACCCTGCCTTCCTGCCTCCACTGTGGGAACGCCACCCAAAGCTGCCACGTGCTGGGACATGGATTGCTGACAATTGCCAGCACATGAGTTATGCTGTCGACACTCCAGTGCCTGAGTCTCCTCTTGGTCTGAGCACCCAACCTGATGGAAATCTGGGTCCTACATGAGATTTAGGGAAGCACCTGACCCACACAAAATGAGCAGGCAAAGACCTCACAGTTGTCATGAAGTACCTGGGTCTGGTTTTCTGGGGACAGAGAAAAGTTTGACTAGAGTGACAGTTGATACATTATACATAATGTGTTAACAGGATTTTGAGGATGAGGAAAGTCAATAGGTTAGAGAAAAAGTTTGTTTGACTAGTAGCTTTATAGTTACTATTTTTGAGTCAGTACTGGGATTTGAACTCAGGGTTTTATGCTTGCTGGGCAAATGATCTACTACATGAGCCCTACCTTCAGACATTTTGCTTCCATTATTTTTCAGATAGTCTTACTTTTTCCTAGGCCTGACTTTGGACAGACATAAACCATGACATGAACCACCTTGCCCAGCTTTGTCTTCGAGGTAGGGTTCCACTAACTTTTTACCCAAGTTGGCCTAAACTGCAAAGTTTCTATCCTGCCTCTGAAGGAGTTGTGGTTACAGATATAATCACTATGCTTGATGTTGGTCAGTAACTTTGTCCTTTCCAAATAATCCCCCCTCCCACTCTTATTGTCCATATACTAAAACTCAGATACCAGATACCCTTGGTGCAATTAATAAAAGGGGGAGGGGAGGGAGAGGAGAAGGAAGAGGGAGAGGGGGGGGAGATAAGAAAGGAAGGCAGGGGCTGGGAAGGTGGCTCAGTGGTTGAGCACTTGCCTTGCACGCATGAGGCCCTGGGTTCGATTCCTCAGCACCACATAAGCAAAAAGAAAAAAGCCAGGAGTAGCACTGTGGATCAAGTGGTAGAGCACTAGCCTTGAGCTGAAAAGCTGAGGGACAGCGCCCACGCCCAGAGTTCAGGCCCCACAACTGGATCCCCCTCCCCCCCAAAAAAGAAAGTAAAGCAGGCCTGGATGGGAGTGGGTACCGATGGAATCAAGAAGGCCTAACAGAGTGAATGAGGATGAATGCGCGCTCCATATAGTTTATTTGCATGTATGAAAATAAAAGAGTGAAACCTGATAGATTGTTTTAAGAATGAAGGAGAGTTATGGAAGGGATAAACACTGATTGGGATACAGTTGATACATGTATGAAAATGGCACAATGAACCCACCCTCCTCCTTGTTCAATTAATGAATGGTGTTTTTTTAAGCACTATTTGAGCTCAGGGTAACCTTTTCTATATGCCTGCATCATACCTATTACAAGGATCCTCCCCTTTTGTGTTGCTCTTACCTCCAAGTGCCAGTTATAAATGGCTCTGCCACTATTTCCAGCAAGTCCCATTGCAGCTCAAAGGCATCCAAGCCTGAGCTTCAGATTCCAGTGAGAGCCCAAGCCCCAGTGAGAGTAGAGGATGAGCAAGGAGACTTGGGCTGCTCTAGTTGATGTGAGGGCTCCTGAGCTTTAGGATAGCAAGAGAGCCTGCCAGCTAGGCCTCTTGGGGAGGCCAATCTGACTTCCTCCTGCAGGGTGAGACCCCAAGCAGCAGAGTGTCTGCAGCACAGCTATTTTTTTTTTTTTGCTCCATCTAACTACCCCGCCTCCATCAAAGGGAAAAGCAATAATCCCCAGCTGTACCTACATTGCCCTTCGAATCTTTTTTTCTTAAAGCTGATGCCAGGACTAGGAATCCAAGCCCTCTTCAAGGTGTCCCCCACCAAGACACTCGATGTGTTTCATCTCTGAAACAGTGTCACCAGAACAGCAAAGACCCTTCAGCCAGCTATGATTGCAGCGGCTTCTGCAATGGAACTCAGGCCACCCTCAACCTGGGCCCCGCAGTGTTTGTGTACAATAGCAGAGTTTCTACCTTTCTCCCTGGCTCAGAAATTGTCACTGCCATTTACTCATCACTTATAACATGAGGGAGAGGAAGCAGCTTTGCCCTTTCTAGTTGAGAAAGACAGATTTCTCTCTCTCTCTCTCTTTTGACTTTTATATGTTTGCTTTTCTGTGAAATAGCAATAGCTAAAGCATCTCCTTCTTGGGGTATTGTGGAAATAGAATTAATACATAGAGGCAGAGGGCCTGTTTCTTAAGCCTAAAATCTTAGCTACACAGAAGGCTGAAATCTGGGGATCATAGTACAAACCAGTCTGGGCAGGAAGGTCCATGAAACTCTTATCTCCAATCAACCATCAGAAAGCCAGAAGGAAGTTGTGGTTCAAGTGATAGAGCACTTGTTTTGAGTGAAAAAGCTAAGGGACTACACCTAGAGTGGGGAAAAAAAGAGTTACCTCACAGGATGACAGCTAGTCATACATGGCACTGTCCAAGGGTCAACTGCAATTGGTTTTCAGGTGGACTGCCTGATTCCTTACTTGCCTCTCTAGAGGGCTTTGTTCCACTTCACCTTCTTCTCACTAGCAGCTGGGGAGAAGAGGCCCAAAGAGTTTGAGTGACTTGCCTCAAGGTCAACCCAGTGCTGTAGAAGCCAATTCCCTCTTGACCATTACCCTCTGCTATATCCCCTATAGCAGAGCTCCTCTATAGCCACCACAACCCACAGCCCTAGATGCTTCCATCTACCTTTTCTCAAGGCTTCAAGGGGTCTTCCTGTGTCATATGGCTTGAAGTCCGACAGCATGAGAATAAAAGTTTGAGCTAAGGGTCCCTTGAGGAAATGACCTCTAGCAGTCCCTTAGGGATGAAGCCAGAGTATGGGAGGGTGTGCTCTGTTCTTCTCTCTTATTTGTGAAGGCATACTTTTGATCCACTGTTAAGCCCATCAGCAGTATAACCAAGACACTAACCTAATTGATCAAAGTAAATTATATTAATGTATGAAATTCTCACAATGAAACATCTTTATAAAATAATATACACACATTTTTAAAAAAGATATTAACTCTAGTTTCTGCCCAGTGGACAGGGGAGGGGGGCGTGCAGGAAGAGACGCACCCAGGGAAAGGTGAAGAGTTACTGCATGTCTTCTCCCTAGGTGAAGAAACTACTTTGTTAATTTTAAATAAAAAAATTTAAAGTCTATACTGGAGATAATTTCTTCTCTTCAAAATGACACCTAAGACTTTTCTCATTTCTCTTGAAGATACTTAAGACAGAAAAAGACAAAACAGTAGCAACAGAAATCAAGACGGGCTGGGTGTGGTAGTTTATACTTATAATCCTAGCATTCAGGAGGGTGACACAGAAGGATCATAAATTTAAGGCCAGCCTGGGCAGTTTAGTGAGACTCTGCTATCTCTACCTACCAAAAAAAAAAAGGTTTCAAATAGTCTGGAAAAAGAATAATGGTAATAGCGAGGGGTGGGGGGAAGAGGGGGAGATAGGGGGAAAAGGACTTGAAACAAATGTGAGATTCTGTGGAATCCCACTCGAAGGGAGCACAGGTGCACTTGGTTACTGTTTTTGTAGCTTTTCAGCTTTTATTTCAAAATGATTTTTCAAAAAATGTGTACTTTTTTTCTGTATAAATGTATGTCCACCTACATGTATACATGTGCACAGTTACATCCAGAAGCTCAGGCCTCAGCTCAAACTGATTAAATCAGAATTTAGGGGAGCTCAGTATCCCAGCATGTGGCTTTTTTTTTTTTTTTTTTTTTTTTGTCGGTCGTGGGGCTTGAACTCTGGGCCTGGGCGCTGTTCCTCAGCTCTTCAGCTCAAGGCGAGCGCTCTACCACTTGAGCTACAGCGCCACTTCCGGTTTTTTGGTGGTTTTTATTGGAGATAGGAGTCTCACGGTCTCTCCTGCCCGGGCTGGCTTTGAACCGCGATCCTCAGATCTCAGCCTCCTGAGTAGCTAGGATTACAGGCGTGAGCCACCAGCTTTAAAACAACAGCAACCACTCCTGCCCCACCCATCGCACTCAGGGATCGCAGTAAGCTGGCACATTTGAGAACTCATGCTGTAATTCACGAGTCATTGTAACCACAATCACCTGTGCAGCTGGTTTGTTAGCGGATTCTAAGTCTGCCGCCTGTAGAGGAGAGTGCTTGCAGTCTAGTTGGACAGACCCCGCCCGGCCCCTGGCCTCACCCCTCGCCCTGCCCCACACCTGTTGCGTATCCTGCCTCGTGTATTTGTATAGGCTTCGTGCAGGGGTGGGCCAGGCCCCATGCGCGCGCGTGCGGGCCGTGTGCGCCCCAGGTGCAGCAGATAAAAGGCGGCTTCGACTGTGGCCTATGCGTCCCAGTGTCGCCATGGACGCTGCTCTGGAGTCTGGGTCTGAAGTGCCCTTGCTCATGGTGACTCCGCAGCCCGAGATGCTGGAGGAGGTGCTCCACCAGTTTTTTGGCCCACTGCCCCAGATGGCCGCCATCTGCAGGCTCAAGCGCCTGCCCTCCGGCGGCTACTCGTCCACCGAGGACCTCGGCTTGGTGTTGGAGCGTCGGCGTGTGGCCAACGCCAAGGAGCGCGAGCGGGTAAGGGGCCCCAGGGCTACCTGGGCGCGGCTGCCTCGTGTATGTACCCCCAGGAAGGGGCCAGCTCCCCATTTGACACCTCGTAGATCTTGCAACCCCCTGGTACGCCCCCCTTGGCGACTTCGACCCCCTGAATCCCTTCTGCAGTCTCCAGCTGGCCAGAAGAATGACAGTGGCTTGGTCCTCCATCCACGTCCGACTGCTTGCCCGTGGTCACTGGGGTGGCCGCTGGCCTCTGACCCTCCCGGACTCGTGAAGGAGACAGGCCTGAGGATAAAACAGAGCCCCTCAGCAGGTGTCTTAAAATGCTTGGCCCGTGGCATTGCCTTTAGTCTCAGCTGTAGGCACTTGGGGAACTTGGGTGCAAATGGGACTCTTGCTTCTTTTCTCTGCCTACTGTGTCCGGGTCTCAAAGCCAAGAGAGTGTAAGGAGCCTGCATGGAAGCTACTTTTCATTTTAAAAATCCAAACGGAGCACAATATCCCAGGATGCATTCAGACTCTCCACCCATCAGGAGAAAGTGACTTCCCAGTCATACTGGGACTGAACTTTTTTAAACCAATTTGAGTGGTCCTGTGCTCTATCAGCGGGTAGCTTTTAGGACCGCGTTTGTCAAGTCTGAGCTCCTTGTTAACTGTTAGAGGATTTGGGTTGGTTTCCCACAGAGGTTATCCTAGAGAGGGGAGGGGAAGGCTGACACGGGGAACATGGTGTAGTACCTTTATGCCTAGGATGGGAAAATTCTACTCGAGCTCTTCCTAGATGCCTACGTATAATTTAGCCTCAGTGAACTTACTGGAGTTTTTTTTTTTTTTTTTTGGGGGGGGGGTCCGGTCGTGAGGCCTGAACTCTGGGCCTGGGCGCTGTCCCTCAGCTCTTCAGCTCAAGGCTAGCGCTCTACCACTTGAGCCACAGCGCCACTTCTGGCTTTTTTCTCTTTTTTTGCTTATGTGGTGCTGAGGAATCTAACCAGGGCCTCAGGCATGCAAGGCAAGTGCTCTACCACTGAGCCACCTTCCCAGCCCAACTTACTGGAGTTTTGTGTGGGGAAAATATGAGGAAAAGGGACCGGAAGGCATAAGGGAAACAGAAAATTCCAAGAGTGAAGTACACTTTTATCAGACATTTCATAAAAGCCTATGATCTGACTTGGTTTCCCTAAAATAAGATTAGGATCTAATATTTGAAGCAGCCCTTTCTATCAGGAAAGAATTGCCTCCCCGAGAATCAGTTTTGGGGTTGGAGGCGTGGCTCAGTTGGTAGAGGTAGCCAATGAGCAAGCCTTGGGTACTGAGTTTGAGTTCCCGGCTCAGGCCAAAAAACATCAATTTTATCCACTAAAAGTTAATGACCTTTATTATTCTGTGATAATAAAATTAACACACTTGGAAGATACCAAAGTACCTGAAGAGGGAATGAAATGAGCTGCTTCATACCACAAATAGATGGTGGTGAACATCTCTATCTATATCCTTCTAGTCCTTTCTTCTAGATGACATGTATATAAAATTATGATCATTTAATAAATATTGATCATTTAATAAATATTTAAGCTTTTGCACCTAGCACTATGAAAAGCATTTTCTCATTTTCTTTTTCTGTTTTTTGCCAGGCCTGGGGCTTGAACTCAGGGTCTAGGCTCTGACCCTGAGCTTTTGTGCTCAAGTGTAGCCCTCTACCACTTGAGCCAAAGCTCCACTTCTGTTTAGTTAGAGATAAAAATCTCACAGAATTTCTTGCCTGGGCTGGCTTTGAACCATGATCTTCAGATCTCAGCCTCCTGAGTAGCTATTACAGCATGAGCCACTGGCACCAGTTCTCACATTCTTAAGTAGTCTTTTACAGAGTAGGGTATTTTTTCTTGCCTGTGGCTGGTATTCTACCACTTGAACCACATCTCCAGTCCATTATTTTACTGGCTAATTGGAGATGGAGTCTTACTGACCTACTCTACCAGGGTTAGTTCAAACTTTGATACTCAGATATCAGTCTTTTGACTGAATGACTTTTTTTTTGCCAGTCCTAGGGCTTGAACTCAGGGCCTGGGCACTGTCCCTGAGCTTCTTTTGCTCAAGGCTAGCTCTCCACCACTAGAATCACAGTGCCACTTCCAGCTTTTTCTGTGTATGTGATACTGAGGAATCGAACCCAGGGTTTCATGCGTGCTAGGCAAGCACTCTACCACTGAGCCACACTCCCAGCACCCCTGACTGAATAACTTTTGATTGCAGAGGTTTTAATATAAGTGGACCATGTTATTGTATTTGCAGAGGTTTTAATATAAGTGGACCATGTTATTGTATTCCCCTATCACCAGGAAAGTGTGTTGTTTGTAGTTTTTTGCTGTTACACAAATTTGTATGTGTGACAATTGCCTTAAAATAAGAATAAAATATTAGAATTACTAGACATTACAATTTCATGTTTTTGTTTTCAGTACTGGAATTGAACTCTCCCAGCCTTGAGCTTTCCAAGTAGGCTAAACTCTACTACTAGTCCTTCTGCTTTTCACTTAGTTTTCAGATAGAGTCTTGAACTTTTACCTAGGCTGTCCTTGGACTGAGATCCTCTATTTTAGTAGTTGTGCAAAGAGATTTGAATTCAACATAAGATCCTCTTTACCTCTCAAGTAGTTAGAATGGTAAGTAGGCCATTGCTAAAAATATGTAATGCCAGGTTCAGCTCATGATTTTTGATATAAATTGTCCAGTTGATTTCTTTTTTTTTTGGTCCGGTCGTGGGGCCTGAACTCTGGGCCGGGGCGCTGTCCCTCAGCTCTTCAGCTCAAGGCTAGCTCTCTACCACTTGAGCCACAGTGCCACTTCCAGCTTTTTTCTTTTTGCTTATGTGGTGCTGAGGAATCGAACCCAGGGCCTCTGGCATGCAAGGCAAGCACTCTACCATTGAGCCACCTTCCCAGTTGATTTCTAAAATAGTTTGTAACTTCTATCCCCATTATAAAATACAAGAATGGTCTCTCTCTTTGAAGCTATTTCTGATGCTAGATATGATAAAAATGTTGCCATCCTGGCACATGAAAAATGGTTTCTAATTTTAGTTTGTATTTTGATTTGTTGAAGTGTAATCTTTCAACTCTTTTCTAGTGATTGAGTTCTTTTGTGAATTAGCTATATTCACTGCCTGCTTGGTTCACGATAGGAGAAGCTGTTAATTTTATTGAGTATATTTATTGGCATTATGGTATATTTTGGCTTTATGGTAGAATTGGAACCTGCTCTCCCAGGCCTGAGTCCTATAGGAGATGATTATAAGAGGTCTGGCTTCAGTGTTGGAATACTAGACTCTGTAGAACAAGGAAGATAGATGTGAGCATTAACATGGCAGCCTCTCATACTTGGCTCTGTATCATTACCTCATTGGGCAAAAGGTTGAGTCGAGGGTGCAGTGGTTCAGTAGGTCGGTATTGGTACATTGTACTTATCAGAAGCAGTAGCACCTGTTGAGGGTTTTAAATGTTCCAGATCTGAATGAGGCATTTTGTGTGTACATTATGTCACATAATTGCCACTACCCCAAAAGATAGAGGGTAGGTGTTTTCCACTTTGCAGATGAGCAAAGGCTTAGCAGAAATATCTCACACACTTTTGTAAAGTTAATAAATGATCGGGAAGTGTAGTTAATGGTAACTACTACTCTTGCTTCTAAAAGATAGAACAGTGAGTATGTTATCAGTGGAGGAAGAATGAGTTCAGCGTAGACAGACACATCTTCCAGCCTGTGTACCTGCAGAGATGTGAGGGCATCCCTTCACTACCCTTGCAATGAACCTTATTGTAGGGGAAATGTGACTCTTTGGTCTGTGCCAGCTTAGATTCATTTCCCAGAATGCTGGAGTTCATCCCTCCTAACCCCCTCCTGTGGCTTTGAGGAATGTCTATACAAGTTAGCTGTTCTCTATGTCACTGCGACTTTTTGTTTTCTAGATAAAAAACCTCAACCATGGTTTTGCCAAGCTGAAAGCCCTGGTGCCATTTCTTCCCCAAAACAGGAAGCCTAGTAAAGTTGATATCCTTAAGGGTGCAACTGAATATATACGAGTTCTCAGTGATGTTTTGGAAGGAGCCAAAGACTTGGAGGTAAAGGCTTAAGAATTTGGAACAAGGGTAGCCACCATTTATTGAGCCCTTTCTATGTATAGATGGCATGCCACATAATTTACATGTACTTCCCAGGTAATTTATCATCCTGAGTGATGGGGACTTGCAAAAGTAGAAGAGCACCTGCATAGTAAATACAAAGCCCTGAGTTCAAACTCCAGTACTGCAAAACAAAACAAAATGAATGAAAAAGTCACCTTAGCTTTTTATGATTCCCACTTGATAAAGGAGGAAATCAAAAGATAGGACCACATAGCTAAGAAGCCCTGATAGGACTGAGATTAGAACTCAGCTCCTAATGAGCTAGCCAAGTCTACTTCCTTCACTTTTCAGGGCACCTCATTGCTAACTGTTGAATCTTTAATGAGATGCAAGATTAGGACATAAGTTTCCATAGAAGCACCTTGTGGCAGATTTTTCCTGTGAGCAGATCATCCACTAGACAGGACTCAGAAAAGAGTTTTATGTTATTCAATGGGATGATACAAATGAACCTGTTAACTGTGAAGTTCTATAATGCCATCATCCCCATTATCTAGGTTGGTGCAGAAGTGTCCAGTAGGCAATAGAGGCTGTAGACTGGATTTGTGGGCTTGTTTCACCAAGAGGCAAACACTGAAGGGCTGAAAATAAACCTGCCGTTAGGGGCCATAAAATATGAAGAGATAAGACCTTCAAACAAGCCCTATATAGCTTTAGCAGGAGGATTTATTAGAGAAGCAGGTCAGGGGAGAAGATGGAGTCATAACATTGAGGAGGACAGACACCTAAGAAACAGGGAGGGAAGTAGAAGACTAAAGAAGGCCAAGATGTGAAGGCAAACAGGTCCAGCATTTGAAAGATGGACAAATGGGTGGTCAAGGATGCATTATTGAGGGAAGTGGTAAACTTCAAGTCCATTCAACCTACTTTGAAAGTTAAAGAAGGATCAAAATTGAACTCAGGACCTGAGCTTACTGTGAAAAATCTTTTTAAAGCAGCAATGTGATCACAATTAGGTGGAAAAGAGAAGAGAAATATAAACATTCTAGAAATGTGTGTATAGTATAGTCTCTTCCTTCATCCTTGCATACTGTTCATCTCAGGTGACTTAGAAAACATTCTGCAGTGGCAGGAATAAGCTGTTCTATTGGCTCAATTGGATGGTTGGGTTGTGGCATGATCATAGTTTGGACATGCCTAGGTACTACCTTTGTTTTCACTTTGTGTCTTGTATAATGGAAGTGCTGCATTCTTTAAGGCATTCATTATAAAATACATTATTTTTTTCATGCCATAGTATTTTAAATTCAGTTGTTCATTGCCCAACATATTGATGTTATAGAAGAACAAAATTAAGTTCATGAAACAATACTTGAAAACTTGTCTGCATGGCTCTGATGACTTAAATAAAGCCTTGTTAAAAGTTTGAAGTAGATTGATTTAAAGCTTTGTAAAGTCTGACATGCTATATTGCCTGACAATTTTTTTTTACTATGGTTTCTAGAAACAGGACCCAGAGAGGCAGAACCACAGCAACAATACTTCTGATCCACATATGTCCTTGGCTATAGAGCTATCAAGAAACAGCCAACATACCAGCAATGCCATTGTCTTGAAGAGGGAAGAGGAAGGGCCCTGGCAGTGGTGAGCTGGCTTGCACTGTGACTATAAGCTATTTCCCTGGTTAATAAATCTGGTAAAGGATTCCTTCTTATATAGCTATGTAGATATCAAAAGGCTAAAAATATATATGATCAGGGGCTGGGAAGGTGGCTCAGCAGTAAAGTGCTTGCCTTGCATGCATGAGGCCTGGGTTCAATTCCTCAGCACCATATAAGCAGAAAAAGCCAAAAGTGATGCTGTGGCTCAAGTGGTAGAGCACTAGCCTTGAGCTGAAGAGCTGAGGGACAGCGCCCAGGCTCAGTTCAAGTGCCACAACTGACATACATACATACATACATGCATATATATATATATATATATATATATATATATATATATATATATATACACATATATACATGATCAAATTTTGGATAGCTCCTCTACCACTAGTGTGGCATTTTCCATACTCAGGATTAAACCAAGATAATTTGGGAAAGGACCTACATGGGAAGTAAGCCTGATAGTTTGGAAAATTATTATGTGATTGGCCACTTACCAATTTAAAGTGAGAACTAATGTTTTCTATAACAATAGAAAAGTTCTCACTGGAATTTTTCTCCAGCCTTAATCTTCCCAAATACTAGGATTATAGGTGTACATCACTGTGCCCATCACTTTTTGGTCTTTGTAGCTAACAAAATTTGTTAATTAGAAGAGTGTGCTGATTCTTAGGCCGAACAAAGAACAAATATATACTTTCAGACTTTTATTTCCTAGACACATTATTTTCTCAAATCGGACTTCCAATGCCTGGCTATAAAAGCCAGATTTTTGCAGGAGTATTTTGGGATTTTCATCTGTTAAGGATTTATCATATTTTGACATCCAAATCAATTATTTTTACATACTTTTTATTGTAAAACTCGTGTACAGAGGGGTTACAGTTCATGAGTAATTGGTAATGAGTACATTTCCTATCGAGCATTGTTACCTCCTCCTTTGTTTTTCTCCTACCATCCTTTCTCTCCCCACCTCCTCCCTCCCCCCCCCACCCCCCAGTTATAAAGTTCATTTTCAACATAGTGTCTTGTACATCTCATTATTACAATGGTTCAACCTGTACCAAATCAATTATTTTTTTGTGTTTGGGGGGTCCAGTTGTGGGGCCTGAACTCTGGGCCTGGGCGCTGTCCCTCAGCTTGTCAGCTCAAGACTAGCGCTCTATCACTTGAGCCACAGCGCCACTTCCAGCTTTTTTCTTTTTGCTTATGTGGTGCTGAGGAATCGAACCCAGGGCCTCATGCATGCAAGGCAAATGCTCTACCACTGAGCCACCTTCCTAGCCCCCCAAATCAATTATTTTTAAATAAAAAAAAATCTGGCCAGGCATTGGTGGCTTACATTTGCAATCCCAGCTACTCAGGAGGCTGGATTCTGCATGATTGAAAGCTAGCTCAGGCAGGAATATCTGTGAGACTCCTAATCTCCAATTAAACACCAAAACCAAAAACCAAAAACAAAAATGAAGCTGTGGTTTAAGTGATAGAGCTAGCCTTGAGCCCAAAAGCTCAGGGAAAGCACCAGGACTGGTATTCAAACATGTGGAAACACTAGCATATAGAAATTGCAAATGTCGGGGCTGGGAAGGTGGCTCAGTGGTAGAGCGCTTGCCTTGCATGCTCAAGGCCCTGGGTTCGATTCCTCAGCACCACATAAGCAAAAAAAGAAAAAAGCCAGAAGTGGTGCTGTGGCTCAAGTGGTAGAGCGTTAGCCTTGAGCTGAAGAGCTTAGGGACTGCGCCCAGGCCCAGAGTTCAGGCCCCATGACAGGACCCCCCTCCCCCAAGAAAAAATTGCAAATGTAGTTCAAAGTAACTTCTTTTCTAACTGAAGGCAAATTGCCAACCTGGTGCCCTAGTATACAGTTACTTCCATGTGGGTTTCCTTCAAGTGAGGCCATTTTCATTTTATAAAACCACAACACAATCACAAACACCAGGAAGTTAGTGTCCTTATATTCATGTTTTACTAGTAGTCTCAGTAATGTCCTGCATAAATAAAAAGACTTGGCCGAGAATAATGAATTACATCTTGTCATGTCTTTAGTTTCCTTCAGTCTTGGCCTTTCTTGACAAGTTTGAAGGTTGCTACCCAGCAGTTTATGTAGGATGTTTCTTGGTGTTCACAGATTTCTCCTGATTAGATTGTATTTCTTCCTTGTCATGGGCTTAAAAGTAATGAGCTGGCCATGGACTGAAATAGTGGGCCAAATCCTTCTTTAAATTGTTTCCCTCAGGTATTTGTCATAGCAGTGAAAAGTCTAACACTACTGTATCTTCTGATTGGTCTCTTATTGTCATTGCTTGATCAGAGGAGATCCCAAGCGACTTTTGGACTTTTCCAGCCCTGAAACTGCTCACTTTTCTAAGAATATGCTGGCACATCATCTCTCTGTCTCTGGTGCATCTCCTCCCTACATAACTGTTCTCTCATGGTCTTTGTCATATTTTACACTTGACAAAAACGCTCTCAGGCCATTCTCCCACATCAGGCCTTGATGCTTCCTCACACATGGGCCCTGAGACCTCACTCTGGGTCACTGTGGCTCCTCCTGCCTTACTGTGACCCAGCTACTGGCACTAGGACTGACTTGTTCAGGAGTGGGAAGGAGGAAGAGAAATCACATTTTCTTTGAAGTTCTTGCTCACGTACCCATTTTCCCAGCTAGTTTTCTTAACACAATTGACTTGCATATGAGTTGAGAACTTTTTCAGCATCACTTTTTACTGACTTTCTAAAAGGCTTGCATTTTATAGTCAGGGACCAGGATAGATCCAAGATAAAGAGACCAAGGAAGCAATGTTCAGGCTAGCTTTTATGTGACAAAAAGAGGGCCATAAAGGTTCAGCCTAACTAATCTGAAGAAGTGACTACAGTGTGTTTCACAAACTTGGTCAGATATACCAACTGGAGACTGCGATAGCTGGTGTAGTTCATTGGACAGAAATGCTCACTGGCAGACAGGCTTAGAATTTAGGAGGCAGTCCTTTCCATCTTCAGTTTGCAGAAGTGGCACCTTCTTCTCTTCAGGGAGGAGTTGGGAGTAGAATTTCTGGAGTTGGCAGGGATGGGCCTTCTTGGGGGATTTGGAGATGGTATTGGAACAGGCTGTGCAAGATCAACAACATTCCTGGGAGGCAGGCTCCTGAATGGATGTGCAGAAGAATCTGCTGATGGCGGGGAGAGAGATTAGCTTCTGGGGCCAGAGCAGGTTCACTTGGAAATAGAAACAGCAAGTGATGTGTGCAGAAAGACCAGGGCTGTGAGCCACACAAAGCCACACATCTGTTTCTGCTAGGGAGAAGGACTCATTTCAAGATGTTTGTTTAACATAGGGAATTGAGGTATAGGTAGTTTTGTTTTTACTGTATTATGATTGGGCATTCGTATGGTGGTTTACACAGCAATCCCAGCTACTCAGGAGGTATAGATAAAGATAGGATCAAAGGTGTTGTCCTGTCATTTATTTGTTCCTTTTGGTTAGTTGTGACTATGGCTCAGGCTTTTATGTCATTTGTGGCTCTGAACTGTGATTAGAGTTACTGGTGGTACCACAGAGACTGAAGCAAACCACCCTCAATTTTGGACTGGGATTCCAAAAGTGCCTGAGTTCCAGGAACTTTGGAAAGGGACATATGAATGAACATAATTGTCTGTCCAGGAGCTTGGGTGTGCTGCAGCACACACTTCTTTTTCTAAAATACATTTTTATTGTAAAAATACTGTACAGAGGGGTTACAGTTACATGAGCAAGGTAATGAGTATGTTTCCTATCAAGCATTGTTACCTCCTCCTTTGTTTGTCCCCTACCATCCCTTCCCTCCCTCCTCCACAACTTCATTACTCCCCCTCCTCCCTCCCCACCTAAATTGCAAAGTTCATTTTCAACATAATGTCTTGTATATATCATTGCTACAATGGGTCAGCCTGTATCCCTATTTAAGCATTTTGTTTTTCCTTTCCCCTCCCCAAGTTAGAGAAGTATATATACAAGATGCAGGGCACCAATATCAAATAGAGTGAAAACAGTGGTTATACTGTGGGGAAGGAACATACAAAGCAACAAAAAAATCACATGGTACATTATAAATACATTAGGAACAATAGCAAGCAAGAAAAAAAAACCACTTGTGTCCCTATCTTGGGGTTCATTTCACTTATCATCTTATATGATCGTATGTAAAGAGCTTTTGACCTTTTCTGCTTGTCCCAGACATATACTAGTTACTGCAAATAAGGGAAACCATGGGACCTTTGTTTCTTTGGGCCTGGATTACTTCACTTAATATAATTTTTTCCAAGTCTTTCCATTTCCTAACAAATGGGGCAATGTCATTCTTTCTGATGGAGGCATAGAATTCCATTGTGTATATATACCACATTTTCTTGATCCATTCATCTACTGAGGGGCATCTGGGTTGGTTCCCTATCTTATAATAAATAAATACCAGATAAACAAAGTTATCTGGTAGCTTTAGTGTGGTCTTGTTTGTGATCGTTCGGGTAAATGCCCAAAAGTGGGATTGCTGGGTTATAGTGGAGCTCTATGTGGAGTCTTTTGAGGAACCTCCATACTATTTTCCAAAGTGGTTGAACAAGTTTATACTCCCACCAACAATGCAGTAGGGTTCCCTTTTGGCCACATCCCCCTCCAGCATCTGTTGTTATTAGAGTTCTTGAGTATAGCCATTCTAACTGGGGTGAGGTGGTATCTCAATGTTGTTTTGATGTACATTTCTTTTATGGCTAGAGAGGTTGAGCATTTCTTCATGGTCTATTGGCCATTCTTATTTCCTCTTCAGAGAAGTTTTCTCTTTAAATCTTTAGCCCACTTATTTATTGGGCAGTTGTTTCTTTCAGGATTTGTTGTTGGGGGATTTAATTTTTTGAGTTCCAAGTATATTTTAGATATGAGACCCTTGTTCGTTGTACGGCTAGTGAAGCTCTCCCAATTCTGTGGGCTTTCTATTGATCTTGCCA